TGTTGTTACTTACAGCATCGCTGAGAGAACGAGCTTCATCTTCTAGTCTGTTACTTACTCTTAACTTGTATTTGATTGATTCAAAAGTCTCCTTATATTCATCCTGTTTTGCAAGTTCGGCTTCAATTTCTTCTTCAGTACTTTCTTCAAGCATTAAATTGAATATTTCTTTATCAATTTCATGTAACTCATTATACCTTTGTTCTATTACGCCATAAAGAGCATTAGCTCTATCAAATTCATCTTGACAAACTTCATTAAACTTCGATACTGTTCTACTAAATGTACTTCTCAAAACTTTCCTTCTTTTTAACAAGGCATCCATGGTTCAAATAAAATCTATACTTTTCCAACAAATAAATTACTTCCACCAATGCCAACACGTTGGACGCCACAATGTTACGAATAGACTGACAAAAACAAGAGTACTCAGTGAAAGTAGTGACAATAATTTATTTGAACCATTTTGACTAACATCTTCTTTATAAGCCAACATAAAACTCAACTCTTTTGTTTACAATCTCTCCTTTAAAATAATAACATGTGTTTTAATTATTAGTAAGCATACAATATTAACATTGACAACAGCTGGCAATTACCAGTAAGTTCAACCATTGACTATAGGTTAAACCAACACAGCATATATAACATTGGTGTTTAAATGCTAGAGCAAATTAATGAAGGAGACAATAGTGTGGTGATTTCAGTAGGTAGCCTTTTAAACCCCATGAAGCAATGTAAATTTCACAACATACCAAAAGAAAGAAAATACAGCAGGTACATAATTATAGTTAGAATGATAAACGTATCATAAAAATGCATGGTGTAAGAAAATGTTAAAGTTAGCCGCCATTTTCGAAAAAGATCTTTTTAGAATTTAGAGTAATTTTAAGACTTGTTTATTTTTAGCAGTCCCTCTCAAAACTTGTTCGTTTGAGAGCTACAGGATGCAGAATGTACACAGCAAGCAACTTGTCCCCAGTTGTAACACTCTGTAGCTCCTAAACGGGTAGTTGTAGGGGAGAAATAAAAAAAATACAAACGTTTTGGAATTGCGTTTTTTATATTCTAAAACAGTCTTTCCATCAGAAATTTTAAAATTAGCCGCTATATTGGAAAATGGCAGACATTTTTTAAAAGTTAAATTTATATTTTTATATTCAATAGAATAATAGTCGAAGTTCCCCTTTTAATGTTTTCTCTAAATCTAATATTCTCTGAGATCCCAATCTTTACAAAGTTAGGCTGTCCACCCTGTATAACAAATATGAATTAAGATTGTGTGTGGGAGAAATTAAATGGCAGATTTATGTGACTAAGAGCAGCTGATTCTTTATCCAAGACCGCCAACTTATAAAAGTCCAATGATCAAGGACTGGGCACTGTTTCAAAAGTGCTTCAAACTTTTCCCAGGATCGAACCGGTAACTTTGGTATAGATCCTCTCCAACCGCTCAGTGACCCAAATACTCAAGATACTTGTAAAATAATAAACAATAAACAATATAATAATAAACAATATTTATAGCAATTACGGTGTCATAAAACGATATTGAGATGGTCAATAAACCATGGAGACCCTGGAGCTTTCACACCCTCATATTGATTTTGTCTGTTGTTGGCATGTTTATGAGCAAGCAAAACATGTGACATCCCTTGTAATGGTAAATAAGAGCCAGTGCTCACTGAATTGGAAATGTAAAACATTGAGCAAAAATTAAAGGGATTAAAAATAGAATGCAAGAAGGTTGGAACAGCCAACTATTTAAAAATCTTAATTAATTAGTTTTAGAATATTACAAATCAGGCTAAACATTTTATTGAAGTTTGTTTGAAATGCAAAACTCATAATATTGTACTTAGCAATGAATAAACTTCGTGATCTTTCACAAAATACATATGATTCTTTATCCTGGTTAAAACCAGCGCAAAAACGTACACATATAAAATGTTGTATTTTATTTAGGGTCCTTCTTAACTGGATGGTTATCATAATATCTTTAGGACAAACAAATTTAGTGGAAAATAATCAAAACGGCTTTTGTTTTAACAAGCTGAACACTGAACAAGTTTTACATTAGTTTTATCTCGAAGACTTTTTACTTTTCCTCCCTTAATACATAAATTTCAATTTTCCAAGAATAATGATTTTGAAAAATAAATCGCGTTCTATAGAAATATTTTATAGTAGGCTACTACAACACTGAATCTATTGCTGATTTATTAATTTTTTTATGCCAAATAACTTCTCAGAATCGTTTTTCCACAAATGCTAAGTTTTTTGTACTCCCAGGTACTGATCAAATAAAAATCGAATCCTTTCTACTTATTAGTAAAATGCACTGAATTATGTTGACCTCTAGACATAAAACTCTTTGACCTACATAAATAGAGTGGTCTATTGTTTTTATTGCAATAGTGTTGTTTGTTAACCATGACCATGCCTATGATCAAAAGGAAGAGTAGTCATTATATTAATTATCTATAAGTATAAATAACACAAATAACCAGTGGTTTCTTAATCAAACAGTTTGTTTTCAAGTGTTTGGTTATGTTATTGGACCCATTGTTCTATAATTAATCAGTTTTCGGACTTTTATCAATTCCACCATCGTTTAGAGCAGCCTTGCTCTTACTAAGAGCAACTTTTTGTTGACTTTTCCTCTCTAGTTTGTCCAGAGCGGATTGTTCAAGGGTGTTGTATTCATCAACCACTCCCGCTACTGGTCCGTTATGGAAATCATACAAGCTCATGTTTGACGTGCTTTCTTGCATATCTGAAATATCTTGATCGTTTTCTTTTTTCAAAGATGCTTCTCCCAAAAACAAGGTTTGAGTAGGATGATTTGCCTCGTTCATACCTTCATCAGCAACTTCAGATAAGTTTAATGGCCTCAAATGATCATCAGGGAAAGATTGTGGTAAAAGAAAATCATCTTTTTCATTTCTGGTCGTCTGCTCTTTGGGAAGATCATCCTCGAAGACAAGTGCTTTTCTAAACTTTGGATTTCCCATATTTTGATGTTTCTTTGTCACCTGTCCAGCAGCAGCTGTGTCCACCTCAGAATTATCTTGATCAACTTTATCATCACGTTTTGGACGATCTTTCTTTTCTTCCTGTTTAAACAGAGGAGATTGCCTATCTAACTCTAAAGGGTTTCCATCTTGGTCTACAAACTCCTCCTCCACCACTAACAAAGTGTGTGTGATAGTCTTTTTGGGCTTGCCTTCCATGATGAAAAACGTTAAACTGGAACTTGAATTTTAAAATTATTTGTTTGTTATGTGAATTTATTTGGAACCATAGCAACACTAGGAAAGAATTAAAATGCTTTTAACAGTTATTGTATACTTTCTGTATACTTTGCAGCCATGCTTTTGTGGTGTTATCGCCTTTTTTACTGGCTGTCATTAGTGACAAAACCAAAAGTTAACTAACTAATCTACATTTAACTAAATTTGCCTGCTTTAGTAATGACAGCTGCAGGTCATCTACGTGCTTAAGTGACAAAGGGCCATTTTAGGCTGGGTTTTCACAAGCCTTACAAAAACTAGCAGTTATTACCTGAGAATAACATTTTTGGTTTTATAGATTACACTAGACTGATAATGTTACCTACATTCTCACCCTTGGTAAGAAATGTTGGTTTTTGAAATATTTGTCAATGATGCATCGGTGAAATATCAGTTTGCTTGGCAATAGGATACTGTGGTACTCATCAAATGTATTTAAAAATGTTTCTCTTAATCAGTCATGTTAAAAATGTCCAGATAAAACTTTTGCAAGAAATCGTGTTTATATGTAGTAGGCAACATGTTTCATGCTTAGAACCAATCGACAGTATAATTAAGTTAGAATCTCATCACACCAACTCTGATGCACTACACATCAGCAGTGGTGCAATGGATGAAGTAGCCTAACTTTAAACTATGATTAAGGTACTGAGACATTTCACGCTTGACAGTTTAATTAAATCAAACTAAAGTTTGCAAATGATTTATATTGTACCAAAGACTATGTCGATTGTATGAATGTACCACGAATGTACCACGTGCATCAATGTAAGATTTTTATTATTATAAGATGTCGATTATTGTTGCAGGTGTACCTATTTAAGAGTTTGATTTTTTTCAGGTGTACAAGTATAAGGTGTTGATTATTGTTGCAGGTGTACCATTATATTATTTTTATTTTTTTGTAGGTTTAATTATTGTTGAAGGTGTACCAATACAATATTTTGATTATTTGTTCAGGTGTACTAGTGTAAGATGTTAATTATAGTTGCAGGTATACCAATGAGAGAGTTTGATTGTTGTTGCACATGAACCAGTGTGAAAGTTTGATTATAGTTGCAGGTTTACCAATGAGAGAGTTTGATTGTTGTTGCACATGAACCAGTGTGAAAGTTTGATTATAGTTGCAGGTGTACCAATGAGAGAATTTGATTGTTGTTGCACATGAACCAGTGTGAAAGTTTGATTATAGTTGCAGGTGTACCAATGAGAGAGTTTGATTGTTGTTGCACATGAACCAGTGTGAAAGTTTGATTATAGTTGCAGGTTTACCAATGAGAGAGTTTGATTGTTGTTGCACATGAACCAGTGTGAAAGTTTGATTATAGCTGCAGGTGTACCAATGAGAGAGTTTGATTGTTGTTGCACATGAACCAGTGAGAAAGTTTGATTATAGTTGCAGGTGTACCAATGAGAGAGTTTGATTGTTGTTGCACATGAACCAGTGAGAAAGTTTGATTATAGTTGCAGGTGTACCAATGAGAGAGTTTGATTGTTGTTGCACATGAACCAGTGTGAAAGTTTGATTATAGTTGCAGGTTTACCAATGAGAGAGTTTGATTGTTGTTGCACATGAACCAGTGTGAAAGTTTGATTATAGTTGCAGGTGAACCAGTGTGAGAGTTTGATTATTGTTGCAGGTGTACTAATATAGGATCTTGAATGTTCTTGCGAGACAGCAAATCTAAGATTTTATTATTATTGCAGGTGTATCAGGCGCTATTCAGGCCGCTGAAGGTGACGAGGCATCAGTTCAAGAAGGTGCTGGACTGTATGAAGATGATCCGTCAACTCAAATACCAGGAGGTGTACGCCCAGGAGAAGGTCACCAAAGTAGACAGCTTATCATTGGTGCTCTCGGGAAAGTAAGTGTTTTATATTATCTTCTTTGTAGTAGTCTAACTGAACTACTAGACCTAACTGTTTTTGGCAGGAGTGTGTTCTTTCTTCTGAAGTTGTAGATTGTTGTATCAACTGTAGAGACGTCTATACATTTTGCTCTTTAATGTTTGAATATCATAAGTGTTAGTATTTTTTATTCATCGTAGGCTAGCTAAAGAAACCAGAAACGGGTTTTCGTAAGTTTAAGCATTCGACCACTAGATTAAACTACAAAATATCTATAACCAGCTTTGACTTTAAGTTTTAGTACAATATGGTTTTATTACATGTTGAACAAATAAATAAATTTATCATAATAACTGCTTCCAGATAGACAACGGTTGTTAAACAATATTATTTATTTGCTATGACATCTGGCAAAATAAACTCGATAAATTCATTTGTGAGTCAATTCAATTGGTTCAAACTTGAATGATTGTCACTTCCCTTTTGAAATAGTAAAATAGCAGAGATAACTTGTTCATTACCAGTAGTTAACAGTTTGAATGCACAATGAGGGTTTTATAAAAGTTAAAATTTTGACAACGTTATTTCAAAGAGAGTTAAAATACAATTGCGTTAAAGGCCATATCGGTAACGTTGCGACCGACAGTCAAAGTCACTGTGATCGGATTAATAATGCTGCGATGTTGGTCGCTCTGATGAAACAATGGAGTGGTGAAAGGGGGGGGGTAAAGTCTCCCCCATCCCCTCGAGGTTTGGTTCAGTGCCAACAAAATGATACTTTCAACTTTCAGCCGGATGGTCGGTTTGGCCTAACGGACCAATGTTGCTTAGCGTTTAGCATCTCATGAACGTTTAATGAAAAGTTAAGTAGGAATGGTGGGCTTTAAAAATTTCTTTACCTACGACCGTTTTTAAAGTGGCCGTTGCAGTTCAGTTCTTAGAATTGAAACGATTTACTCAACAGCAGTGTTTACTTACTTAACAGCATTGTTTTCTTACTTAACAGCATTGTTTACTTTTACTTAACAGCATTGTTTACGTACTTAACAGCATTGTTTTACTTAACAACACGGGTTACGGACCAATGAGGTTCAATAATTGAGAGAGAAGAAGTAAAATTGTAATGCTTCAGGCGTCAACTAATCAGCTGTTTAGACCAATTGTTAATGAGTGGTGCAATTAGTGTTTGGTTCAATGATTTGTTACATCTCTGTCTGTGGCAATGAGAGGATATAAACGAAAACATAACCTCTCATAGAAGATATGAGTTAAGTTATGAGTTTTGTGATTGTTAGTAATTAAAAAACTGTCGTTGGTAAAGTAGTGTACGCAACTCTCATAAATACTGTAGTTTAAACGACACTCGTAGAAGTTTTTAAGGCACTCGCTAAGGCTCGTACCTTAAATTACTGTACTCGTGTCGTTTACACTATCTCTACGCGATCGTTGCGTAAACTACTATTATGCGTCAGTCTATTCAAGACTATTTTACTATTGCCTGTAAATATATCAGCTGTTTTCATCGGGTGTTTCTATCGAATAATCATGTCGCCGGTTAGATCCATCGATACAAAAGGTCAGTAACATTATATTTTTGCAAATGGCTATGTAAAACCATTAGTTTTCAAAATTTATAAATATTTTTGCTACAACTAAAACACACAGGACCGAGAAACTATCTAGAAATAATAAACTTCAAAATGATCAAAATTGTAACAAACTTCTATTCTTTGATCACAAGACATAGGATATTCATGTATATAAAAATCCAAGTTGATGTATTGCTTGTCCTACTAAAGAACGTGTGGAGCTTGCTTGCATGGCCTTAAACTTGTCCACAGACTGGCACCAGTCCAACATCAGATGATAGATTAGGCTCCACTACAGAAAGTGTAGTGTTTGCTTATTCTTGCATCGGGTAAATATCACACAAGATATTCATCTTATCTGACATTTATCATGCTTAGACAAGATGATTACAGTACTGTTATCAATTGCTATGATTAAATTGATTTCCCCTCGTTTCACACTCAATGATCAGTATTAATCTTGGGATTCAGTGATCAGCGTTTTACAGAAATTGTTTTGTCTCGTAATATTTTGATAAAACTACAACAGTGAAAGTTTATAAATTCTGGGGTTTTCCAAACAATAATAATGGAAAAATTTGTATTGGCGTGTTAATGTTTTTTTATATGCGCAACTGTTGAAATGTGTACACATCCACACATTTACAAGTTATTTGCACTTTTGGGTTCAACGCGTAAGTGCAATTTGTTGAGTTGCACTTGTAAATGTGTATATTTTATTGAAAATATAAGTTCTTACAAAGGATTGCTAATAGACCATTCCTTATTTGACACCAAGTTTATATATTGAAGGGTGTATATGTAACATTTAACTCACAATATAGTCATTATTTTTATCATCATTGAAATTCTTATATCATGCAAAACACACTATTGTCCTTATTGCATTAATCTCAAAAGCGGTCGTATTCAACACACAGCTGCCCATACAGTATTAAACACACTATAGTAGGTACTCATATTGCATTAAACACATAGTGCTCATATTACATTAAACACACTAGTGCCCATATCGCATTAATCATATAGCTGCCCATATTGCATTAATCATATAGCTGCCCATATCGCATTAAACACACTAGTGCCCATATCGCATTAATCATATAGCTGCCCATATCTCATTAATCACACAGCTACCCATATTAAATTAAACGTGAAGCTGCCCATATTGCATTAAACACATTTGTGCTCATATTACATTAAAACACCACTGCTCATGTTGCATATTAAAACACAACTGCTCATATCGCATTAAACACTCAGTTGCCTATATTCCCTTTAACACATCAGTGTCCATATTGCATTAAACACGCTAGTGCGTGTATTGCCGTCAGTTTGGCAAGAGGCACAAAGTGACTTTGGTAACTGCATTACGCTGTGATTGAATCATTTCACCACACAGTAAAGGGAGTTACTCCGACCAAACAAACGAGGTTAAACAGAATACCACCACAATATGTTCATTGGAAATACTGTTGGGTGATGGCCGGATTGACGGTTTTTAGCGAATTTCACATATAGGGAATAAGCTATTACCGTAGGTCTCATGGTAAGACATGGACCCGGGACCGATTTACTTTTTCGTTTTGAGGTCCCCAGAGGCCAAAAACACCATCCGTTCAAATTCATATATACATACATATATTCATTTATATATATATTTATATATGTCCGTTTGCACCTCTCGAGTAAAAATGATCCGATTTTGATGAAATTTGGTATAAACGTGTAAACCTTTACACGAGTTCGAGAACAAGCATGATCGGACTATGGAAACAGGGGTTAAAAATGGTGTTTTCTCATTTTTCATCCTGAAAACATAAAATTTTTCAATTTCTTTCGGAACCATTTTGCAGAGCTCAAAAAACAAATAATTTAGTATATTGAAGTATTGTTGTATGCCTAACGGTTACGGAACAAATCCCCAAAAAGTGTAAATTTAAAATTACCATGTCTTATAGAGAATAAATAAACTGTTGTAGCTTGCTTGTCTATGGGCATATTTTAATGAAATTTAAAAATTTTGTTAAATTCATGCTAAGCTATCAATATTTCAATAAAAAAACCCCTATTTCCTTCCCTGTTGCAGCAAACCTACGTACCGGTACTCATTACAATTAATGATATTTAAATCTATATAAATAAAATTAGAGTTTTGTCTGTACATTGCTTAGAATAATGAACTTTTTGGTTATTTTTACATTTCATAGGTCAGAGAAACCGAATCAAACCTTATCTCAATTTCTGTCTGTCTGTCTGTCTGTCTGTCTGTCTGTCTATCTGTCATTCTCTTGGTAACGCTAAAATACGCACTTTATTACAACTACTCCTCAATAACTATAGCACTGTCCCGCCTGAAACTTATTTTCCAAATACTATACATATATGAGATGGTTTTATACGTATTTCATCGAATATGAGACAGTTAGATATTCAACAGTAAACCCTTGAAAATCAAGTTTTTGTAGATTTTTGACGTGGAATTTCTGGAAGCCCATGTTAACCTTATGAGAAATGAAATTATTGAATCTTAACAGCTGTTTCAATTAAACAAGTTGGTTCTGTTCTGTGATGTTCAATAGCATTAAAGTTACAAGGATTACCAACAGGGTGCAGCACTAGCACTATTATTTCTTTTACATTTATGACAACAGCTAATTTGCAACCTGGAGGCGAGTGAGCGTAGCGAACGAGCTAACCTGAAGGCAAGTGAGCGTAGCGAACGAGCTAACCTGAAGGAAAGTGAGCGCAGCGAACGAGCTCCAACATACAGGTGAGTGAGCGTAGCGAACGAACTTCAACCAGGACGTGATTGGAAGGCAAGTGAGCGTAGCGAACGAGCTAACCTGAAGGAAAGTGAGCGCAGCGAACGAGCTCCAACATACAGGTGAGTGAGCGTAGCGAACGAACTTCAACCAGGACGTGATTGAGCCATGCAAACGAGATCAGATAGTAAAAATAAAAGTAAGCCTACCGTTATAGGATCGACCGGCAGACACAGAGGTAATTTAACCTTTTATTGATTGTCATACCGATCCGGAACAACAAAAAACAACATAAAATGAAGCTATGTATAATAGTTTGGCCAGCATATCTTAAAATATGCAAACCAACTGCTGTTCTTTATATAAGAAGGTTTCAACTGAATATTATAAGATCCCCGTGCGTAGAACGGGTACACAGCTAGTAGGAAATAAATCTGACAATTTTAAGGGAATAATTTAGTGGAATTCCAGCCAGGTAGATGGAAATTCGCTTAGTCTTCAGGTTTGCTGCGGCGGGGGTATATTTATTATATTTAATATGTTCTAGGAAACTAATAAGTCTTAACTCTTGTTAAACATTTCCGGAGGCAGGGGTACTGCGGTTCAAAGTATATCCCTAAGTAAAAGCTAGCTTGCGGAAGGTTGAGATGAACAAAGGTATAG